TAATTATATCCATTTGACAGAGCATCACTTCAAAAATGGCCAAAATGTCATCACGGTCATGGTGGTTTGAACCCAGAGTGAAGGCAGACACATGAAGCTTAAAAGTACTTTAATAAAATAAAAGAAACAACACAAAAGACCACTTCTCTAGTTCTGCTTTCAGCTACTGTTTCTGTCCTTCCTCTTTCACAGCTGTTTTCACAGAAGAGCTCTAAGTTCAGAACAAAGTGATCACCTGCCAGCTGTGTGAAATCTTAAGTTCTCTTATCACTGAGCATTCTGGCAAAACTATTTTTGGACATTGCCGTATCTCTAAAGTCAGTTTATCAGTAGAGAGAAGGCCCCTGACTGCACAGAGCTGCCTTCTTTGTCTCTGGGTTTACAGGTCTTTGTCACAAGACACTTTGGTTGACTGAAAATCTACTTTAACTCAATGAGACATTGAACAGACACTTGATTTTAGAGCAATACTTACAACTAAAAGTGGATGAGGCTTTTAAATATGGACATGTTTCAATTTGTTTCTAAACTCAGTGCTAGATTACATTTTAATAAAAGTCATAATATTAAAATAAGATCTTTTTGATTTAGTAAAAAAATATGTACAAGCAAACTGCAATAAATGTAATTACTTCTGCACAAAACAGAACATAATTTGTGGGGCACCATTTGTAAAGCAGCTTGTGCTTCTACTGATGTTTTTGGTCAAACAAGACTGACTCACCTGATGTGTCAATGTGGTGGTCACAGGTGAGGGAGGGTCTAGTAAATCCTGCACCTTCCAGATAAGTAGGTCTAAAATTTTAAAGTACACATTTAATAGTTTGTCTCCTAACAAGTTTTTATAAAAATGTTTTTTCTAAATATTTACTGTATTGATTTGCCCATTAAGTTTCTTTATAAGACTTTTCAGTTATTGTATTAACACAGTCTAGCTTTTATTTTGGTACATCTGATTACAGGCAGTGCAAATTTGCATATTAGCTAAATATTATCTTCAGTGAAACATTTTGATTTTACATTAAGTATTTAGATTAAACATTTAGTATTTAGATTTGACATAAAGCATTTAGATTTAACATTTTGCTTTAAGCTTTTACATTTAAATTTATGTTTAACATTTAGCATTTAGATGTAACATATTTAACTTTTAGTGTTCAGATTTTACATTAACCTTTTAAAAATGTAAAATTTTGTATTTAGATTTGACATTTAGCATTTAGATTTACTATTTAGCATTGAAATTTAACATTTTGCTTTTAGCTTTTCCATTTAACATTTAGATGTAACGTTTAGAATTTAGACTTACCTTTTAATGCTTAGATTTTACATTTAACATTTAGATTTCAATTTAGCATTTAGATTTAACATTTAGCATTTATATTTAGCCTTTACATTTACCATTTAATGTGCTGACATGTACACTAATCTTTCAAACATTGTTTGAAGCTAAATCTGGCAGAATTTTGTAGTTTTAGCACAAGCCACTTTACAAACAGCACCATATATATA